TTCTGAAAATTAGTACACAAAAATTCTTTTCTCCATCCATGTTCTAAACCAACTGAAACAGAAACATCATGTTTAGAGAGAATGAAACAATAGTTTTCTCCTTTAAAACTGTTGGGGAACTTACTAAATTTGTTAGTTCAGAGGGCTTTCTCAAATTTCATCCCTTATAACAGTTACCTAGTCATCAGTTAGTTGGGCAATGAGAGGCATTCCTCATGAGGCCTGTCTCTTTAAATTTATGGCATAGAAGAGCAGATGAATGTTTGATTTTAGTTAGCAGGCAGATGCCAAAGAGGGAGAAGAATTAAATGGAATTTGAGCATGTGCAGTTCCTTCTACAAAATTCACCATAAGATCAACTCCCTTCTTGCTATGGAGACGAGCATGTAAGGCGGTAGTAAGAGAGGACAAGAATGTTACTCTGTAAGAGGTCTCCCTACAAGAAAGCATCTGGATTAGGGAAGAAGTGTTTTCCTGAATGCTTGGATAAATCACTGCACTTCTCTGAGCCTCAATATTTTCATCTGTAAAAAGATTAATTCTGTTATTCTATTTATTATTTGAAATGTACAGTTATAAAAGACAAAGCAAAAGTTGCTCAGTCATGTCCAACTCTTTAACACCCCATGAACTGTAACCTGCCAGGCTCCTCTGTCCATGGAATTCTCGAGGCCACTCTACTGGGGATCCACTTCTCCAGGGGATCTCCCCAACCCAGGGATCGAACCCATGTCTCCCACATTGCAGGAGGATTCTCTACCAACTGAGCCACCAGGGTAACCCAAGAATCCTTGAGTGGGTAACCTATCCCTTCTCCAGCGATCTTTCCCACCCAGGAATCGAACCAGGGTCTACCTGCAGTAAAGGTGGATTTTTTACCAGCTGAACTACTAGGGAAGCCCATAAAAGACAATCCCCTTTTGTGGACTTAAAGAAGAAGAGGGCTAAGACCTTGTTTTAACTCCAGCATTGAAAGCCTGGGCAAAAAAGAATGACTTGTTTATGGAGAGTCTTAAAGGCAGAGTAAAGGGGGGTGGGAGGAAAACCAGGAGCATGCAGTATTGCAAAAGTTAAAGGAAAAGTGTTTTCAAAGAGAATGGTGAACGGTTTTGGCTTTTACTGCTGAAGACTCAAATACAATGAAAACGGAAAAGTAGCTTTTGTGTTTAGCAATATGGCATACATCGATTGCTGTAGTGAACGTCTGATATGAAGAAGTATTTGGGAATAGAACTCAGACTACCAAAAAGTAGGAAAGAAGTGAGGAAAGGGAAGTTGTGAACATAAACCCACATTCCTGGGAAATTTTGCTCTTCAGGGAAACAGGAGAGTAGCCAAATGAGAATTGTGGGAAGGTTGCAAAGATGAGAGAGATTTGAGACTGTTTATAACACTGACAGAAAAATGGGGCAAGTGGAGAATACACAAAGTAAAGCATCAGAGAACAGACTCTAGCACACAGGTTAGGTATTGGTCTTGATAAGAGGAGAGGCATCTTCCTTATTTTTATCAGTAGGCCCAGATAGAAGCAGGTTTATAGCTTTCCTGTGGGGAGTTGCAGACCCTATCTCATGGTTTGTACTTCCTTTGCTATGTAGGAGGCATGATAACTTGCTGAAAATTAAATGGGAGACTTAGGATAGATTATGGGGGCACTTGGAGATTTCATTAGAATAGAAGAAATTAGAATGGTTGTGAATAATTAGCTGACAAGAAAAATAACTTGGCAGACCAAGACAGAGGGCCAGTTAAAGCTGTTGATTCATGCTTCATGTACAATTCTGCCTTCCTTACTAGAATGTTAACGTTTGGGAAGTTAAAAGGTATGGTTTTCTAGACTTGTCTTACTCAGCTAACAAATAAAAATTTTATAATTAGCAATATTCTACTTAGTTAATAAAGTATAACATTTTAGTTATCAAGATCTCTGGTAAGCTTTTCCAGTCTTAAATTTTAAACTGTTGGAACTATGTCCTGTTTTACATATTGTAGTCAGTTCAGTTCAGTTCAGTCACTCAGTTCTATCCAACTCTTTGCAACCCCATGGACTGCAGCATGCCAGGCTTCCCTGTCCATCACCAACTTCTGGAGCTTGCTCAAACTCATGTCCATCAAGTCAGTGATGCCATCCAACCATCTCATCCTCTGTTGTCCCCTTCTCCTCCTGCCTTCGATCTTTCCCAACTCAGGGTCTTTTCTAATCGGCTCTTTGCATCAGGTGGCCAAAGTATTGGAGTTTCAGCTTCAGCATCAGTCCTCCAATGAATAGTTAGGGTTGATTCCCTTTAGGATTGACTGGTTTGATCTCCTTGCTGTCCAAGGGGCTCTCCAGTCTTCCCCACATCACATTTTGTAGTGAAATGGTTTAAATACCATTAGTAAACTCTTAAATTTCAATTGATGGCATAGTTTCAAAGTTATCTATAGGAACTTTAAAATTAAATAAGAAACAAAACAGCCTGCCAAAATACATTTTAATATTTCTAAGCAAATGAAATGATGCAAATCATTCACTGTTCTTTAGACTCTATCTTGTTTTACACAAATGTTTCAGTTTCTTATATAATTTACTTAAATTATTGAAGTTTGAACCTTGATTCTTGAACTTTTCTTTGTAAAATGAAAAAGCAGTATAATTTTCCATACCTAGATTGGGAGTTAGGTCAATTAGTGGAATAATTTTTGATATTACTGGATGTTTATATTTGTTAGTTAAACATTAATGATTTCAAGTTTTCCTATAATAACAAAGAATACTTAAGGATAATTTAGATAGGAACTATTTTCAGGATTCTGTCTTTTCTCAGTTAATTCAGATGGATCTTTCTATGTTTCAATGCCCAGAAAAAAGAAGTGGGTTTTTCTTTTTTTTAGTTTGAAACAGATTTTAAAACACAATTGTAAATGTATTTTTAGTGGATTTTGGTTTGGCCTGCTAATCCCTTTCTGCTCTACTTCAGTTTTACATTAAAGAAATTCATTTCCTCTGGCTTATGTAACCAATTCATTATAAAATCATCAGCTTTCCATCCTTCCCCCTCCCCCTCTGTCCCCACCTCTCTCTCTCACCAGTTTCTAGTATTCTTAAATCATACCCTTAGACTCCTGATACATCAGTGATGGGCAAGATTTTTATTCACAGTAAGTTAGAATATCCTAATGATTACATTCTTTATATTCAGGTTTGATTTTACGTTTTAATATTTTTACTACTTGGTAGAGATCAGCTCAACAGCTGGATCTTAATTTTATTCATCTTTTGAACTTTTCTTTTTGTCTCCTTTGACTTGATCTCTGATAACCATCTGAGAGAATGTGACAAGGTGGCTCTTTCAGAGACGTGCCTGGATTCTGGCTTGGCTGATTGTATTTGAAGTTTCCAAGTGGTTTTTAAAGAATCCGAGGTTCCCTCAAAGCCCAAATATGGCTTGCATGTATTTCTGTTTCTATAAAGACACGTATTGTGAGAGAAATAAGATCTCTAGGAATGTTTACCCTCAAATAATTTAATAAGAACATATTTTGGGTTTCTTTAATTATTTCCATTTTCAAAATCTTTCATGTGCTTTAGCTCACAGAGTATACAGACTTGTCAAAGTATGCTGCTTGGAGTGGAGCAGAAGATGAATGCTTTTGGGATCAGAGAGCTAATTCTCTTTCTCTTATTCAGCAATTTTAAACTTTTTAGAGTAGTTAGCTATTGAGGTTGTTCATAATGAATCAGTTTCAATAATGCACAGGAAATAAGTGTGTGTGAAAGCACTCTCACAGACACCTGTTAGATTTCAAACAGTTTTCCTATCCAGGGTCATATTTTTCGACACCTGCCCAAATATTGAAGGTCCATCTTATTCTTATTCTGTGGTCTTACATTCCTTTGAAAACTGGAGAGTTTAATTCTTTCATCTCTCACTTGCAAATAAAAAAAATTAAAATTCACTACTCTATAGATTCTCTACTTGAAATGAGCTTATTTTTATTCATGTTTGTTTAAATCCTGCATCCTTTCTAATATGGCTTGAGGATCCAAGAGTTTGGAAAATAGAATTCAGAAAGCTAGATGCAGAATATAATTTATTACACTGAATAGAGTCCTTATAGCAATAAAATATTTATTTGATTTTTTTTTCTCTTTTTACTCTGATTTGGAAGGGGGAAATAAAAATTCAACAGGCCTGAAGTCATTCAGTGATATTTATATACTTGTGAAGAAATATAACACTAACTACAGAATCTAGAATACAAGAATTGAAAGACACTTTCCATCATCATATAGACAGGGTTCAGATATATTCATTTCTTAGGAGAAAAATGTTTAATAAAATAGATTTACTTAAGTATGAATATGGCATCCCTACTTAAATCTTACTAACTGAACTTAATTTGCTCTTTTGTTATGCTGTATTTTATTATTCTCTGTTTCAGAACTTTTAGTCTCCTTAACTGTATGGTTAGGTCTCTGAAGGCAGGAACCCTTCTGTATGCATCTTTGTATTTCCTAAAGCATTCTGGAGAAACTAGATAAAAATTAACATTAAAAACTTGACTTATTAAATGAGAAAAAATTGAGACTGAATGACTTTCTATAGTTAACTTGTTTTTCTGTTGCTGTTCAGTCGCTAAGTCGTGTCTGACTCTTTTTGACCCCGTAGACTGTAGCACACCAGGCTTCCTGTCCTTCACTATGTTCTGGAGTTTGTTTTTTAGTACTAAAGGCAAAATTCTGCCTGTGATGTTTTGCGTACTCAGCAGAGCTTAAAACCCTGTTTTGACCTGTATGAAAGACCAAGAGCTCATCTCTTTTCATGGTCACATCAAGTTTACAACTATTTACAGAACAATCATGGATGAAAAATCAAGATATAAAGAAGGAACCGCAGGGAGATGGGTAGGAGGGAGAGAACAGTTAAGTTCCATAACCCCAGGTGGGTGACCCACAAACAGGAGATAATTACAATTACAGAGATTCTCCCAAAGGCATGAGGGTTCTGACTCTCACAATGAGTGCCCCAGCCCGGGGTTCCTGCACCAAGACGATCAGCCCCCAGAACATGACCATGAAGGCCAGCAGCACTTACCTTCTGGAGTCCCAGAAGACTGGGGGAAATAGAGTCCATTCTCAGAGGGCACACACAAAACCTTCCCTGAGGTGAGACCCAGGTCAGAAACAGTCACTTGAAAGGAGACTGCAGATCAGGAGGGTCTCTTACCTCTGAGCACAAAGACACAGCCTCATCCCAATGCACAGCCTGGAGGCTCCAGGACTGGGACGCCGGTCAGGCATCTACTGGGTGGGGATACCGCCCCCATCAACCAGCAGGTGGGCTGCTTAAAGACTCCTGAGCCCATAGGCACCCCCGATACGAACCTGTCTATCAGAGGGCCCAGAACCCCCGACCTCATATCCCAGTCAGTGACAGGCACGGGACCCAGGACCCCAAGGACTCTGGAGCCAGAGAGCCCAGGACCCAGCCCTTGCAGGCTGCAGAGCTGCCATGGTCCTGGGGCTGTGGGCTCCTTAGTGGTGAGTGGGGTCAGGGCTGGGTGATCCTCGGGCCGCTGACATAAGCTGGTGAGTGAGGCGGACGCCTGAAGAGAGTCCCAGGTGGGCAAAGCCAGGCCCAGGGGTCACTGAGCTGGTGCTGGCCCCTCGGTGGGCAGAGTAAGGTCCCAAGGTCTCCCACAGCAGTTCTTCGGGTTTCTGGAATTGGGGTCGTCCTGCGGACACCTACCGGATGGCTTCTGGCGTCCTCAGTTTAGTTCCGCTGCACTGGTCGGAGGAGCCGGGTCCCAGGCTCTCTCCTGTGCAGGCCGTGTTCCCAGGTGGCCGGGTGCTCAGGGGCTCCTCATGCCGGTGGCCTGTTGGGTCAGCGATACCGCGAGAGGATCCCAATTCCGGTGCCGGCGGGCTGGTAGGCGGGGCCAGCTTCCCGGCCTAATACGCCTCAAGGGAGGGCGGTTCCAAAATGGCCGCTGGCCCTCGCCTCATGTTTGTGGTACCAGGCGATCTCCAAAATGGTTATTGCCTGCGCTGCGTCCCCAGGGTGAGCTCCAATTGCCTCCGGCATCTCCAGGAGATTCTCTTAGACCGACAGGTGGGTCTGACCCAGACAACTTTCATGGTACTGCTTCCCACCTAGGTTTAGAGCCTGTGAGATTTTCCGTGTACCCTGCAAGAGTGGAGTCTATTTCCTGCAACCTTCTGGCTCTCCCCAAAGTAAGCACCTTCAAAATCAAGCGTTCTGGGGGCTGGCCTTCCTGGTGCAGGCTGGGGGTAGGGAGCTCAATGTGGGGCGCTGACCTCTCACTTTTCTAGAAGAACCTCGTTAATTGTAATTATCCGCTAGTTATGGGTCACCATCCCTTGGTATGGTTCTTGAATATACCACATCTCTGGCCCTCCTATCTGCCTACTTGTACTTTCTTCTATTTTCACTTGTAGAAGATATTTTCCTGCTAGGCTTCAGGGTTTCCTTATCAATAGTTGCTCTGTAAGTAGCTATAATTTTGCTATCCTTTTTCCTGGTCATCCTTTTCTACCATCTTGGCTACCAACCTGTCTTGGACTAGCCTTCTTTTACTTTGTCAGTTCTTTGATGCTTTTAAGTAGGTTTAGGTGAGTTCGATCCCTGGGTTGAGAAAATTCCCTGGAGGAGCACACAGCAACCCACTCCAGTATTCTTGCTTGGAGAATCCCACAGCAGAGGACCCTGGCAGGCTGGAGTCTGTGGGGTTGCATGGAGTTGGACATGTCTGAAGCAATTTAGCAACATGCACAAATATTTTATCCAGAATTTTTGCTGGTTGATTTCTTTGGAAGAGTTTTTCTGAATAACCTTGCCTCTATTTACGGAGCAGCAAGATGCTCATTGTGTTAGTTTGTTAGGGCTACAGTAACAACCACAAACTGGGTGATTCACAGCAATAGAAATGTATTGTCTCATAGTTTTGGAGGCAGAAAGCCTAAAATCAAGTTTCAGCAGGGCTATTCTCCCTTTTAAGGTACTGGGGAACGATCTCTTACGGATCTTTCCTGGCTTCTAGTTGCCTCTGGCATTTCTTGGCTTGTGGCTAGCTGTTTTTTCCCTCTCTCTCTTCCTGTGATGTTCTCCTGTGTCCACGTCTATCTCTGTGTTCAAATTTTGCCCTATCTATAAGAACACCAGTCAGATTGGATTAGGGTTCATGCTAATGACCTCATTTGGACTTGATTACTTCTGTAAATACCTTCTTTCCAAATACAACGTTCTAAGATACTACAGATTATATATGTTAGGGAACTAGTGTAAGCTTTTTGGGGGACAGGATTCAAATCTTAATGCTCACCAACTCCATTTCCTTTTCATGGGCACCCGCAGGCAAGATTTCCTGATCCCTATTGCAGTTAGGTCAGGCCATCTTCTTGGTTCTGGCCAAAAGAATGTGGTGGGAGTGATGTGTACTGAGCCTGATCGTAGACCGTCTTGGATGTTTTTCTTCAGTTTTGCTGCTCACTCACTGGTGCCTGAATGTAGAGGGCCCAGAGGAGGTGCTGGAAGATCACAAGATGGAGAAGCTTGATACTGAATCACCAGGGAAAGTCAGTTGCTGTTGGAAAAACCCATTTGGACTGTGATATGAGTGAAAAACATATGCTTGTTGAATGAAGCAATAATCAGTGGTTAAGTCTTACTCTTGATTCCTAGCCGCTTCTATTGTGCCTCTTACTTCTGAGTTGTTTCTCATTGATCTCAAGGTCGAAATATGTCATTTGAAAAGCCTTTCTTTTTGACCAACATCTTGCTTTCTTGAGTTCTAACACAGCAGGTTTTTGTAGCAAATAAAGCACTTTAGCAAAAAAAATTCACCTCTGTTTTCCCAGGAATTGATATTGTCAAAATAGTTTCACAATAAACATAGTTGCATTTACTTTATATAAATCATAAAAGCAATATTATAGTGTAATAATGTTCATGCTTATTTTCCAATTAATACTTCCAGATATAAATTAGATATTGTCTTACAGGATCAGTTTTTTAGTGTGATTAAAATTTTAAAATATGTTGCTGTGCAATATTATATGTTATAGGTGTACACTATAGTGAATCACAATTTTTAAAGGTTATACTCCATTTATAGTTATTATAAAATATTGACTATATTCCCTATGTTGTACAATATATCCTTGTAGCTTACTTTATACCTAGTAGTTTGTATAACTTAATCCGTTACCCCTATATTGCCCCTTTCCTCTTCCCTCTCCCCACTGGTAACCACTAGTTGTTCTCTATATCTGTGAATCTGCTTCTTTTTTTTTAATTATTTTCACTAGTTTGTTGTATTTGAATATATAAGTGAGTCTGCTGCTTTTTTGCGACATTCGCTTGTCTGTTGTATTTGTATCTATATGTAGATTCCACATATAAGTGATATCATACAGTATTACAGGATCAATTTAAAAGATAGTGTACCTTATCGAATTTATTACTAGCACTTACCTTGGAAATAGAACTGTGATTTTCTAAGTTTTAGATAAAATAAGGGGTTTACACACACACACACACAGAGGTACACCTCTATATATTACTGGACTTTGTCCTGATATAAAATATCTCAACTTTAAGATTTGCATGTGTACAATGTACTGAGTCAATTCTAGAGCACAGAAGTGTGTTCGTTAAGTCTGGTGCCAGATAGTGGAAAATGAATGAAAAATAAGAACAAAGGAAAACATAAAATTGAAAGTATCAGAAAATGATAGCTAATAAAATAATTGAGAATCTGTTTTTTTAAGAAATTTCTAAGTAGGCCACATTTCCTTCCATGTTACACAGCACCAGAAAGAGTTACCATTTTAAAACCTGTGATTTTACTTTTAAAGATTATTTTGCTTCATCTTTTCTATTATAAAGGAAGAAATAATTTCAACTGGGTGTGGTAATGAATTGCTATTGCTTTTTGAATAGCTGAAGTCATCTCATTACTCACATATGTAAAATATTACCAGGTTAAGTAGCTACCCTGTTGTGGAGGATATATATTTTTATTTCAAGATATAAAGTCCTATTATACTGTAATAGAAGAAAGTTCAACAAGTAAAATTCTCAGTGTGAGAAAGAATTTACATGGATATTTTAAGGATTGAATATAGCATTAAAGATTGGAGGAGAATTAATCTTCCAAGAAGAGTAGTAGAAACATATTTCTTTGTAATATTTAAAAACCAGGCAGGGCAGAACATTACAAAATGGGTGTTAGAAGATAATCTGGTATACTCAGGGATATGGAACGTAAAGCCTGAGATACCTGTTTCAGCCTTCACCAAGTTTTACTGCATATTATGCTTGTGGAGGAAAGGAGATGAAGAAAAACTACAGCTCTTAAAATATTTTTCAGTATAAAAGTTTGCCTCTCACAGTGCAGCTAGCACTGTCTCATTGTACAGGAGTTCATTTCTGATCGTCATTAATGATATTTCCTTATATGACACACCATTTACTGGAACAGATATGTCATTTTAGACAATAATTTTAAAAGATATATTCAATGGAAAATCCTGCTAGTGGTTTGTTCTACTTTAAACCCACAATGAATTGCTATGCTCCAGTACTTGTTTTTCTGAGTCAAATTAAGACAGATTGTTCTCCATAAACTGATCAGGAGGTCAGTCAAGTAGTAATATCAAGATCTTCTATTGTTTCAGAGACCTTGAGTGGTCAGGACAGAATTTTTAATTGAGTTACTGTTTAAGTCTTGGCAGTTGCAGTTAACAGAAATAAATTTTGCATGTTAATTTGTTGGTAAATTGAGATAGGTATTAGAACAGTAATCTCAAATAGGTTGATTAGAGCCAACAACTTGGATTATGGGGTTAAAGTGATTATCTGAAATGTGATACTTATAATTGTGAATTACTTTTTTATCAGAAGGCACAACCTGTGTTGTCAGCCAAGTTCTAGCAGTAGAAAAAGACTGTTCAAAGTCTTTTGATGATGGCTGACCCAGCCAAATAGGGTGACTATATTGCCCTCACTTTGGACTTAGCTACTGAGTGAAATAAAATAATCTTGTAAAACTAAGTATATTTGACAGTTTCAAAAGCAGATGCAAATGTGAGATACTCCATAAATAATTATTAAAAATTCAAACAACCAATTGTTGGACATCTGACTTTTTTTACATTACAATTTAATGAAAATAGTCAATAACTGAAATGTATGTACATTTCCTAGGCTTTTTCTATACCAGTAACTTAAATTATAAGATAGGTAGCCAGAAAACAATATTCAGTGGCACATGAAACATTTCAGTCAAAATATTCCACAACGGTAAAATGGTTGTTAGAACCATACATATTTGTGTTAAGATAATAAATAAGATATTTGACTCTAGAATAAAGCTGAAAAGATAATTGAGACTATGTGCTTGTGTGTGTGTGTATTAGTTGTTTAGTTGTGTCCAACTCTGTGATCCCGTGGACTGTAGCCCTCCAGGCTCCTCTGTCCAGGGGTTTCTCCAGGCAAGAATACTGCAGTGGGTTGCCATTCCCTTCTCCAAATTGAGGCCACAGAGAAAAGTTAAAAAAAAAAAATCTCTGAACAAAACAGACACTTAGTTATTTGGCAAAATCAAACTTTTTCATAGACTAGCTTTGTGAACTTGAACCATTTGATGTGTCTGTGCATCAGTTTTCCTCTTCTTTAATAAAAGAAGTAGACTAGATCAAGGGGCCTCAGAGTTTTTGAGGAATAGAGTTTTATTTAATTTTACTGGAGCTTGAGGTGGTGATAGTCATACTAGAAGGCAAGAGAAATTTATGACTGGTAGAAATCTATGTATCTGGGAACATAGCCAATACTGGGTTTTGTTAAGTGCAATCTTTTAATATTGGACATGAAGGTAGGTAGTTGGGGAAATCTTGTGGATAAATAGAATGGCAGGAGAAATTTCATAAGATCAACAGCTTAGGGCCATCAGACAACTTTAAAATAAAACTCATTGTAAGCTTGGAGCTAACCAAAATAATTAACATCTAAATTTATTTTATTATTTTGAAATGTATTTGTTGAACAATTACGTTTTAAAATTGAACATGGAACTATTTATGGAAAGTATA